ACTGTTAGGGAATAGCATAGGGGAAAGGGACCTGGGGGTCCTGGTGGGCAGCAGGCTGACCATGAGCCAGCAATGTGCCCTCATGGCCAAGAAGGGGTGTCGTCAGTAGGTTGAGAGAGGTTCTCCTCTCCCTCTACACTATCCTGGTGAGACCACATCTGGAATATTGTGTCCAGTTCTGGGCCCCTCAGTTCAAGAAGGACAGGGAACTGCTTAAAAGAGTCCAGCAGAGAGCCACAAAGATGGTGAAGGGAGTGGAACATCTCCCTTCTGATGAAAGGCTGAGGGAGCTGGGTCTCTTTAGCTTGGAGAAGTGGAGACTGAGGGGTGACCTCGTCAATGTTCATAAATACGTAAAGGGTGAGTGTCAGGAGGATGGAGCTGGGCTCTTCTCGGTGATGGCCAATGACAGGACAAGGGGCAACGGGGGCAAGCCAGAGGAGGTTCCACATCAACATAAGGAAAAACTTTTTCTCTGTGAGGGTGACAGAGCACTGGAACAGGCTGCCCAGAGAGGGTGTGGAGTCTCCTTCTCTGGAGACATTCAAAAGCCGCCTGGATGTGTTCCTCTGTGATCTGCTCTAGGTGGTCCTGCTCTGGCAGGCGGGTTGGACTAGATGATTTTTCAAGGTCCCTTCCAACCCCTAACATTCTGTGGAGACTAGCAGTAGACTATCGTGGCCCGAATGAAGTCACGCCACTGCTGAGTGCTCCTGTGCTGGACATGCCAGAACTTTAATATAAACCGGAGTCAAAGACAGCCAAGTGGTACGCCACAACTGATATCACTAATGCATTTTTCTCAACTCCTTTGGCAGCAGAGTGCAGGCCACAGTTTGCTTTCACCTAGAGGGGCGTCCAGTACACCTGGAATTGATCAACCCAGTGGTGGAAACACAGTCCCACAATTTGCCATTGGCTGATTCAGACTGCACTGGAACAGGGTGAAGCTCTGGAGCACCTGCAGTACATTGACAGTATCATCGTATGGGGCGACACAGCAGAGGAGGTTTTTGAGAAATGGAGGAAAATAGTTCAAATCCTTCTGAAGGTGGGTTTTACCATAAAACGAAGTAAGGTTAAGGGACCTGCAGAAGAGATCCACTTTCTTAGAATAAAATGGCAAGATGGGCATCGCCAGATTCCAATGGATGTGATCAACAAGATAGCAGCCATGTCTCCACCAACTAGTAAAAAGGAAACACAAGCTTTTTTAGGCGGTGTGGGTTTTTAGAGGATGCATATCCCAGACTACGGTCTGATAGTAAGCCCTCTCTATCAAGTGACATGGAAGAAGAATAATTTCAGATGGGGCCCTGAACAACAACAAGGCATTGAACAAATTAAATGGAAGATAGTTCACGCAGTAGCCCTTAGACCAGTCCGGACAGGACAAGATGTTAGAAATGTGCTCTACATCGCAGCCGGGGAGAATGGCCCTACCTGGAGTCTCTGGCAGAAAGCACCCGGGAAGACCCAAGGCTGACCCCTAGGGTTTTGGAGCTGGGGATACAGAGGATCCAAGGCCCGCTATACTCCAACTGAAAAAGAGATACTGGCACTATACAAAGGAGTTGGAGCTGCCTTGGAGGTCATCAGAACTGAAACACAGCGCTCTTAGCACCCCAACTGCTGGTGCTGGGCTGGATGTTCAAAGTGATGGTCTCCTCTACACACCACGCAACTGACGCCACATGGAGTAAGTGGGTCACACTGATAACCCAACGGGCTCAAATAGGGAGCTCTGGCTGCCCAGGGATTTTGGAAGTGATCACAAACTGGCCAGGAGGCAAAGATTTTGGAATGTCGGAGGAGGAGGAAGTGACACGTGTTGAGGAGGCCGCACCATATAATAAACCACCAGACAATGAGAAGCGATATGCCCTATTTACTGATGGGTCCTGCCACACTGTTGGAAAACATCAGAGGGGAAGGCTGCTGTGCGGAGTCTCATATGTTGAGTCACTGAAGCTGCTGAAAGAAACTGTGAATTGAGTCAGTTTGCAGAGGTGAAAGCCATCCAACTGGCCTTAGATATCGCTGAGTGAAAAAGGTGGCCAGTGCTTTATCTCTATACTGACTCATGGATGGTGGCAAATGCTCTGTGGGGGTAGTTACAGCAGGTAAACCCATCCGGGCTGCTGA